TAGTGCCTCCTCTCATTTTAATTTCTCTACAACGTCTAGATCAGGAATCAGAATACACTAGACGGTTTATAAGAACCCTGGAAGTTGTAATCGCACACCGACCAATCAGTGAAGAGCTGTGAAGCCATGATGTTAGATTCAAGCGTCTGTCTGTGTCCCTTTTATGGTTCAACACAACAGTAAACAAAGAGGTTGAAATGGATGTAGACGAAAACAGACATTTTGTGTTTGCAACGATTCCTGAGATCGAGGATTTAAAGCCGGAACAAAAAGAATGTTTGGTGAATTTTATCAAGGGGAAAGACATTATTGTCCTTCTTCCTACGGGATTTGGCGCATTACAAACGTCACGACCAAATAGCAGCAACTGGTTAAATTTTTTTAAAAAGTACCCTCCTACCGTTGAGCGAACGAATCCTAATACTGCGAGGTCAGACAGTTTCCACAAAGTGAAACCGGCTGATGAATCAGGCTAAGTTCAATGTTGAAAAGAAAAAGAAATGGGCTACATTCAAAGTCCAAATAGGCGACTTATGGATCCTTTTATTGTTGGTTCAATTTCTGTTTTTTATTGTTTAAAACTTGAGTAATACTAATTGTTCAGCAAGACACAATCACTCAGTCAACAATAAAATATCTTCATTAATGTTCAATAATGGTCAAATCCACCTTTATTTTGTGATTTGCGAATAATGTCGACTGACTTTGGTGGCGAAGGTTTGTGACTTAAAATATGGGTCCCCACAAAAAAAAAAAAAAGTTTGTGAAACACTTTGTGAAACACTTTGTGAAACACTTTGTGAAACACTTTGTGAAACACTTTGTGAAACACGGCCGTACAGCGCTCAGGGACCCGACTCTATGATCTTGAAGAGTTTTGTCAGTTCGGTCACTCAGGAGACAATAACAAACAACATTATAGTGGATGGATTATAAAGGTTTTTGGGAATTCACTTTGTAACTTTGAATTTATTCTGTAAATTTTGGTTATTTTTGAGAGCTTTTCCCTTTCAACTCAGCAATGCAAGAATGTATTTAGTGTCGACTGTACGGCCCAAGATGACTGCTCTGATCACTCCAGTACGAGCGTTCACTTGGACAAAACCTGGAACTAAACCTGGTCTAGACTGGAGACTAGAACCTTGGCCCAGACCCGGACTGGAGTGAAAGCGCAGGAAGAGTTTATTTGAGCTTTAGTCATTGTGTTGTTTCTTTTTCAAACGTAATAGCTGCGCCTTTGTCCACATCAACTTTATCTTGACA